CCTGGTTTCAAGGCTGTTCTGTTCTGTTCCCCAAGGAAGGGTGAACAGAATAGTCAAGTGGGTTTTGGGCCAACTGGATCTGAATTCTACCCCCACTGCACTCCTGTATCATTCTCTCTGCACAGCTCTGCAAGCTTTGCTCCAGGGTCCTGCGCTCTGTCACTGGTAAATATCCCAGGGGCTCTTAAATTGTTGCAAATTAGTGTCTTATTATCTATTGTTAGCCAAACATGCAGGTGTGGACCTGGAGAGAAGGGGAAAGGGGATGGCCAATGCAGTCACTCCATTCTTTCCTGGATCGGGAGGTGTGTTAGTCTAGGTAGACTAGAGAAACAAATTCATGGACACTCATGTTTGTATAAGAAAGAGCTTTATACACAAAGCAATTGAATATCAAGAATATTGGGAAAACATCCCAGCCCAGTCCAGATCAAGTCCATAAGTCCAATATTAGCCATTATGTCTGTTACCAATCTATAAAGTCCTCTTCAGACTCACAAAACACAGGCCAGTGGGTGGGAAGTCTTGTGAATCCAGTGACATTGTAAGCATCTTAGCCCTGGCAGGAGTCTGCACATGGCTTCTCCAACTCCTAGGGCTACATCAGGGTAGGTCCATGTAGCTTCTCCTCAGAAGAAGGCCATGCCCACACAGAGGCCTCATTCGCTATACCCTGATTGACAGATTAGACTCTACCCCTATACTCTTAATCCTCAAATTGACACCAGATTATGTAACTACCACAGGACAGGAGATGCAAAGTCCGAGAATGCAGGAGCAGGGAGGATGGGAAAGAGGGGAACTACGGTGTGAGGTCTTTTGGCTCATTTTCAGAGGCTCTCCACAAGCCTGGGATTATGACCACCTTTAGACAGCAACCCAGAGATATTACTGCACACCGTGGGTCTCAGATCTTGCGTGTAGGAAGGAGTGGTGGATGCCGTGCTGCTGGAACTGGCGAGGGATTAGTGGAGCCCGTGGGCAGACACAGTGAACTTAGAGCGAGTTCTTGAATTGTTCCATGGGTGAAAATCCCAGGCAGTGGCCTGAACCAGACCCTAGTACACTGAATCTGTTTTTAGCAGCTAGCTGAAAAAATACTGGCCTGCTTACCTATTAATTTTCTGATCTAACATCAGGAGCACCAGGTGGGTAAGTCTACCTGGACGCTCTCTTGACTCCTCCTGATTTTTAAAAATTTTACTGGCTTATCTATAAAAATAGAAACAATGAAAACAAGCATAAATGTTTGATTATCTTGAGTAGTTGCTAATTTAAAATATTGCTATCATGCATGTGAAACTGTCCCTCTTGTACAGAAAAGTTAATTTTACAGTAATTAATCCACTTGGATTCACACTCAATTCTCATGGAGACAAGTAATCAAATGACCTCTTGCATCAGACGAATGTGCTGCACTTTAAAGTGTTGAACAAAAGGATATCACTTGGAGGATTAATGTGCATCTGACCCAAGCCATGGTAGTTTTATTTGCCTCATCTGAATATAAATCTGAATAACATATAAGCAAAGCCATAGAAAATTGGTACAGTTGAATGATAGTTTTCATGAAGAATATTAGAAGAACCATGATCTGACAGAAGAACAAGCAAATTAATCTTGGAGGAAGTACAACCAGAATGCTTCTTAGAAGCAAAAATGATGAGACCTCATTTGACGAGATGATGAGAGACCAATCCTTGGAATTAGACATCATGCTTTGTGAAGAAGAGGGTCAAAAGGGAAGAGGAAGAGTCCAGTTCACTAAGTGGAGTTCCCGTATGGGGTTTCACTGATGCAGCCTGTGGAGCATGCTATATGCCTGAAGATCCAGGATTCAGTGTCTCAGCATTCCCTGGCAACTGGCCCGAGTTCCTGGGACTCCCCCTGATGCCCTAGGTCAATTTTGCCCGACCGCTGCACACCATTAAATGTGTGTGTTTCCAAGAACATCCTCAGTCTCTCCTCCCCTCACCTGGAGGTCAGCTCTCCCTTCTCTCCCCTCAACAGACATGCACCTATATTCCCCCAAAGGTGATGGTTCCCTCTCTCCTCTCTAGTGCTGCCCCTTCCATGAGTAAGCCTCATCCCTTTGACAGGGCTGCCTCCCTTTCCAGGGGACTTCACCCCAGATTTACATGGCTACTACTCAGCAGACAGCATCCCCCCATCCCCATCCATGTGATCCCAGTTGTAAGACGCCCTCTGGCCAAGTTACCTACATTGTACTTACCTATAGTGCATGCTGTGTGGTTAACTGGTCCTGGTCCAGCTCTTTTTCAGGCTGTCTGTTCCCCAGCCAGGAGACTGGATGCCCTACAAGCTTGAGCTTGTGACCATTCTGCTCCGTGTGCCTTTTGCAGTCAACAAATACAGTATTTGTCCTTTTGTGCTTGACTAACTTCACTCCGCATCATGTCTTCCAGATCCCTCCGTGACTTGTGTTTCCTCGCTGCTTTGTTTTTATATGCACTTTTCTATTGAGGGGAATGAACATGGGGGAACAAACATCTGTTCATGATTTCTTATCTCTTCAGTTTACATGTGTTAGCTGAGCACTTAATCCAGAAAACACCAGGTGTCTGAGGAAGCAGAAAACAGCTTTACCAAGTGGTGTACTGTTGGTTGGTGTACAAACAAGGTCTTGCTGCATCAAAGCCCTGTATGCTGTATTAGGATATGTATTATTCAGCAATCCTGTGATATCATTCTGTTAAATTTTGCTTATGCTTATTCATATTAAGGTGTATGTCAGAGGTGTGTCACCATTGGGAGTCATATTAAGGTGTATGTCACCTTAAGGTGTATGTCAGAAGTGTGTCACCATTGAGTTATTTGTTTCTCTGTTTTCTTGGTAAATGTAACCCAGAGACATTGAGCCTATAGGGAAAGCAAATATTACAAGGGTTTTGGGGGGAGGGGGAATATAGAGGGGTGGAAAAATCCAGGGGGAGGTGTGGACATAGAGGGTTGGGGAAGATAAGAGGGAGATGATGTCAAGAATTCCAGGAAGGAAAAATATGTTTGGATACTGATTATGGAAACAATTGTACATTTTTGTTTGGTGGGATTGAACTATGGAATGATATGACATATGTATTAACTCTCAAGTTACAGCAAATTAAAAAGAAGAAGAAGAAACATAGATCCAGGAATGGGTTTTGGACTTGCACTAAATTCTAGCCCCAACTTAAGAACGATTAGTTTTTACATCATGGCCCTGCTCGATACTTGCCCTCAGGAAGAAACTATAGAAGATATGGGTGCTATCGCAAAATGTGGTGAATAATTTGGCTGGTGCCCAGCCATCAGATAAGATAGTGTCTGGGCTCTTAAAGACTTGTCTCCAAACAAGCAGCTATCTAATCGAGATGTCAACTAAGTCCACGTGGAAAGTACACCATCATTAGTTACCGAAGTGTTGGAATCCATATCATCCGAAGTAGAAGAAGGGATTAGTATCAGAGCCTAAATTTTGAGAATTCGGTGTGTAGAAGGTAATGGATGCCAGTGGGAGGCCAAGATTCATTTGTGGAACAACATAGGGAATAAATGTCCAGAGAACTCCCCCTATCTAAAATTGAGGCATGGGAGGAAAGTGCTCAGTAAACAGAGTGCTTAGGATAGAGTCTAGAAGGTCAAAGGCATAAATCTGGCTTGAAGAGTTGAAACTTTGTCAGTAGATCCCCCCCCCTAGGATGCAGGCTGAACCTGATCTGGTTTCCAAAATTTTCCGTATTTTTGGTTTGGTTTTCGTTTGTTCGTATTAGAATGTGTCTCAGAGGTGTTATGTTAATGGAGGCCACCCTCTTGAAGCTGTGTTATATACTTTTTCATTTTGCAGTATATGAAACCCAGGGTTTATGAATGTAGAGGGACAAGAAGTAGAACAAAGAGTTTGGGGGGAGAGAGAGGTACAGTGGTGGTGGAAATTATTCATATAAGTAAATTAAAAAGGAATCTGTGTTCCATACACTTAGACTCAAAAAAACATAAATGACCCTGAAAACTTTCCTTACATATTCACTGAGCTCATTAAATTTTTTGAAAATGTATTTATATATTATTTTATTATCATCTTCTGAAACAAATTATATGGATTAAACCTAAGTGCTGAAGTAGAAACATATCATGTGACTGTAATGCACATTGAAGACATACACCTATAGTTGTTTTCCTTTTCAGGTCAAAAGTTTAGCTAGAAATTATAGAATTCTTTGTTAAATAAAATTATGAAAATGTTAATAAATTGTTTCTTGACATATTTTGCATTTAGGTCTCTAAAATTTCCCTGAAGAATTCTTTACTCTTTGTTTTAAACCACTTCAAAATGGTAGTTTGACAATCTTGGAAGAACTCAATTTGTGTTCCTTTCAAACGTTCTTTGAGTTTTGAGACAAACAGAAATCTGGTGGTCTACAGTGTGAATGGGATAAGATTGCACAACAAATTTCTCAAAGGGCAGCCCAGCTGTCTTTAAAAGATGAACAACTGCAGTATTATGATAGAGAAAAGACCTCAACTCAACCTTCCTGGACTTTTATCACAAATGAAGTTTTAAATTTTATTAAAACTTCATACTAAACATCCACCTATGATCAATCCTGTTTCCATCAAGAAAATCTATCAAGATTGCCTGTTTGGAGTCATCAAAACAAACAAACAAACAAACAAAAAACAATTGCCATAACTTTCTGAGCTGATCTGTCTGCTTTGAACTTTAATGGACCCACAGGTCCACTTGGAAACTCTTGTGTTGATTAGACCTGTTTTTGTTGATTTGAAGGGACGCTAAAGGAATTAAGCAAGTCACACTCTGTCTGTAGCCATCCACCAATCGCAGACATGTTTAAGCATGTTTTGTTTGTAATAAACTCTTGCATATGAGGATTGGAGCCCTCCGAGCAATCTTTGTTATTTACCATTGTACTTTGGTATATATTTGAAACTATAGTTGTCTTAAGAAGTCTTTAATTTAATTTAATTCTACTTGCTTTTAGACTTGTAAATTTTCAAAATGCTGCCAGGCTGAGACTTGTACTCTGATTGGCTTTGCAGAGTGTGGCAGTGGAATATGCTGTGAAGAAAAGAGTTGTCTGGTAAGATTTTAAAATAGCAATTTTTATAAATGAATTTTTTGTTCTCTTGTGCGTTTAAAAACATTTCATTGCCATTGATGAGAACATATACAGCAAAATATTCTTTAGGTCAACAATTTGTACAGATGTAGTTCTGTGACAATTACATTCTTCTTGTTGGGCAACAATTCTCACCCATCGCTTGTGTGTTGCACTTCCCCTAATCACATAAAGTCACTGCTCTTTAAGGCTGCTGTCTAATCTTTTGACTTGTCCCTTTGAGTACAGACAGAAAGTCCTTAAAAAGCAAGCGCTCAATTCAGACATTTAAAAAATACTAGTTAATCTGAACGTTGTGATTAAAGAAGACTTCAAGGGGCACAGCTGCTTTAAGATTTAAATATTATTTCAGGGCAATAGTTGTGGGGTTCCTCCATCCTGCATGACTCCAGAAAATTTGGAGATCATGATTGTTTTTAAATTCTAGGACACATTTTCCCCCTTTGAGGTGACTCACTGATCAAAGTGTCAGTAATGATAACTTGGCACTCTCCAATTCTGAGTCATATGTCTAGTAGAGCAGTTGTTCGGGGAAGGAATAGCTGCATATTCCGAATCCACCTCTTGGGCCTTTTTATTGTTAACATATCAAAGTTATACACACATATATATTCTTATCAGATACAAGGTTTCTGAAGATACTCTCCTAAAATTTTATTTATTTAAAAAATGTCTTCTGATGGACAAATGTTTTAAATTTTTATGCAATCCCATTTATTTTATCTTTTGATGTTTATGATTCCGTTGTTGTATTACATAATCCATTGTTAAGTAGTAAGAACAGCAGCATTGATTCTGTGTTTTCTTCTAAGAAATTCTGATTTTCGTTTTCACATTTAGTTTCCTAATCTATGTTGGATTTGATTGAGTTTATGGTGTGAATACATATGTTTTTTAGATTTATTGCTGTATTTTTATTTTTCAAAAGATTAAAAAAATTTTCATTACATACTTTAAAAATAACCGTTTTCTTTGTATTCCCTTCATCGTAGCATATGAGTATTTTATTCATTTTCTTAAAGTATCATATTTAGAGTGTGTTATTTAAGTAGCTGTTTTTCCATGTTTTTCTATTATTGCGTCTGCTTCCAAAGTTACTAGTCTCTTCTGATGGCAAATACTAGAAATGTGATTCTTAGTAATTTGGGTCCAGAATTAGAGATTATCTTTAGGTGTCTTTCAATCTCGTTCTTAGCTCTGCCTTTCATATATGTTTCCATATTTACTTAATCACATGCACTTATTGCATCCAATGATTATTCCAAATGATGTGAGTGCTTCGATTTTTTTTGTTATGCTTGAATATAGCTAGCTATTCTTTGTCAAGTAAATTATGAAATAATTAAAATAAGTTGTCCAACATATACTTGTCATGCAATGTTGGAGTCAAAACACAAAAAACATGCGCAAAACACACAATAATATCTGTCATCTAGAAATTTGGAGACAATGAATCAATATAGAATAATCAGTGTTCTTTTAAAAATTTTTAATAAGTCATTTTATTGGAGGGCTCTTACAACTCTTATAACAATCCATATATCCATTGTGTCAAGCACATTTGTACATATGTTGCCATCATCCTTTTCAAAACATTGTCTTTCTACTTGAACCCTTGGTATCAGTGATAAATTATGGTTATTTTAATATCTCATACCGTCCGCTGTCTCCCTTCACCCATTGTTTCTGTTGTTTGTTAGCCTGGTGGTGGTGGGGGGGTTATATGTTGCTCATTGCAATTGGTTCCCTCTTTCTCCCCCCATCTGTCCCCTAGCTTCATGGTATCACTACTCCCATTTTTGTCCCTGAGGGGTTTATCTGTCCTGGATTCCGTGTGTCAAGAACTATTATCTGTACCAGTGTACATATTCTGGTTTATCCAGATTTGTAAGGTAGAACTGGGGTCATTTTAGTGAGGGGAGGAAGCCTTAAAGAACTAGAGGAATATTGTATGTTTCATTAGTGCTATACTGCACCCTGGCTTGCCTTGTCCCTTCCTTGTGACCCTTGTGTGAGGGAAGGTCCAAATGTATACAGATTGACTTTGTGTCTCCACTCTGCCCTCCCCCCCCCCACCACCACACACACACTTTCACATTGATGTGATTATTTGTTTTGGGTCTTCCGATGCCTGATACCTGATCCTGTTACACCTCGTGATCACACAGACTGGTGTGCTTCTTCCATGTGGGCTTTGTTGCTTCCCAGCTAGATGGCTGCTTGTTTTTCTTCAAGCCTTTAAGAAAGACCTTAGATGCTATATCTTTTAATAGCTGGGCCCCATCAGCTTTTTTCGCATTTTCTTATGCCTGCAGTAATCGTGTCAGGAAGGTAAGCATCACAGAATCCCAGGTTATTATAATAAAATATACTTACGTTGAGGAAGTATTGAGCAGAGGCCCAATGTCTGTCTGTTACCTTAATACTTACCATATAAATATAGGTACATAGACCTATATCCCTATCAGTATATATTAATATATTTGCATATGTATGTCTATACTTATACCTCTCTCAATGCCCTTTGCCTCCTAGTTCTTTTCTTTATTTCCTTTTACTTTCCTCCTTTCCCACTATCATGTTCCACCTTCGTTCAGCTCTTTGTAATTCCTCTCAGCTACATTGCACTTAATCAAACCCTACCAGGCGTTCTATGCCCTCTTGCCATCAATTGAAGGTCCCTTCTTGTTTTCTTGTCCCTGGGTTTGGTGGCTCCTCACTTCACCCTCTTTTATGTCCCCCTGGAATCATCAGTCCCATTGTTTTTTCCTAGGGATTGTTTATTTTGCCTATCTTTTTTTTTTTTTTTAACATTTTATTAGGGGCTCATACAACTGTTATCCCAATCCATACACAC